CTCTCCAAATCATTGGCACTGCAAAAGGCATAGATTTCCTTTTCCTGTTCAACCACTGGCGAAGATTTGTTGCAGCATATGTGTGGGGCCCACCTCTTGTCCTGATCTCCAATTTTGCAGCCAAAATAAAGGTGATAGGCTTTCTTAACCATAGTGGTTATACTGCGCTTTTGTGATGCAAAAGTCACTTCACCACAAACATAACAGAAGTTATCTGCACTGTTCACACAAATATGAGGCATCTCTGCTCACTTTGGCTAAACAGAAATGTGTCCCTTTGCAAAATCGAACACTGACAAATAAGAGAGCATGACACTGTATGATTTCTAGAGCTGATATAGGGCAATTTGTTCAGCAGAGTGATGTAAGCTTCGTTATGATTGTATCACCCATGACTTCTAGGAATAACATGATGCAATTCATATCATGTATGATGCAATACCAGCTTCAGATTGCATCATTCATTGTTTTGCCTAAAAAGCAAGTACTGTCCAAACCCATAGATTTATTCATAGATCCAGTCAAAGATGTATTTTAGTCATTTCTGGTTTAAATTGAGATCCCTTCCCTTTATAACTCACTTATTCTCCACCATTCGCAAGTCAAGTGTTGTATATACTGAACAAATAGCATATCTTGAAAACTAGAGCCAATCAACAATTTTAAGCATCATTTCGTTCTCAGTGACCCAGAATTAGTAAAGTTTGACTACATTTATTTCAGAAGCATTTTGGCTGTAGAGCAATGAAATTAAACATTTGTCAGTCATGGATCATATGAATATTCTGCTCAGTACTTATTTCCTGGGATATCAATATTTAGATTGGACTGAAATAAATAGTAATGTTTCTATTCTATTCCATGAGATTTGTATGCAGCCCCAAGATAGCTGAGTACTAGCATTAAAAATAAATGCAAGCAAATGGGCTTCAATATGTAGCAAGAATCATTACTTAGTTTACAGTAGATCAATCACAGTCTTTATTGTTAAATGCATTTTAGAGCTTGTGAAACATGCCAAACTGACTACACGAGATTCTAAGGTTATGTATTCACTGCACAGTTAACTCGGGCTGTTACTTGGGTTTTAGACAACCCTCTGCATCCGCAGAGAAAACCCTTTAACAAAGTTTTGGAGCTGAGTTAGGCCTGATTTGCTTGGCTGGGGATACAAGTTAGAGCCCTGATGAGAAACTTGCTCACTTTGCAATGAAGACACAGTCTACAGTCACTTCAGTGCTTATAGTCCTCCAGTGCCTTCCCACATTTCCCCCGAAGGACAGGCAAGTTCTCCCAATGTTGACACAATAGACTGAGAAAGAATCTTAAATGGGTTCTCATAACAAATTTTTAGGTGGCCACCAACTCTTACTGCTGGCTGCTCTGACTATTTTCCCTAAAATACTTTAAAACTTGAAGAAAAACATACACATATGCATATATACATGTCCAAATCATTATTTTTATGTAGGATTTTTTGCAGACTCAGTAATAAAAATAATGTGCAGGTGTCTGTTCTCATGATCTAAATGGAATAGAAACACAAATAAGGAGTTCTGCATATTCCTGTCTTTTCTCTTGTTGTTTCTTTTGCTTTTTTGGTTGTTTGAAGACTTGACAGCTCATAAGTCTGCTGTGAAAAGCAATATTAACAAACATTCAAATATTACTTTGCACAGAGGATGTAGTCCTGGAAAGCCCAGGGACAAATTAAACCCTAGGTGGGGAGGATGGCACGGAGGCAATGGGAGCCAGGGGTGATGTGGGGTGTGAGAGATCAGGGCCAGAACCTGCCACTGCACATCCTGGGAACAGAGCCTGAAGCCCCATGGCTGGAGTCTTGTCACTTGCCATCCAAAGACTGAAGCCAGTCACCACCCCTCCCAAGAAGATGGGGAACTCCCACTGGCTGTCTGTTTCTCCAGCTTTTGTGTCTCCAGGGGAGTGGTGGGGGACAGGAGCCAGCCACTACTGGTGGCCACAGAGGCCTTTGCCAATTATCACCCAGAAGCCTGTGGTTGCAAGAGAAACCGCTAGTGGCCACATGTAGCCACAATAACTGCATTTGAGAAACTCAGTACAAAGAACCATGGAATATATCCCAAACATGCAACATAAGTGCATAAAGAAAAAGGACACAGTAATATGGGTAATACTTGGCTGTGGGGCTGCTCAGACCCAAGCCAAGCTAACCCAGAACCAGTCTCCCAAGATAACTGTGCATGAAAACATACTCTCCTGTTCTTTTTTATTAACAGGAATGTAGACACCGGCATTGGCTGTGTAAACATCCCCACATTGCCATGCAAATGTGCCTCCACCCTGGATTGGAGGACCCTAGAGGTGAAAGGATAATTAATTCCACAAAACTATTACATCTTTACCTCTGCTCAGATTGCCAATAACACTTGTGCTATAAACCATTTTCTAATAAGAACTGGCCTGAGGTTACGAACTCATTTCAATAGGCTGCTGAAAAGCTGGCAAGGAACCTGGGCTATCTTCCAACTACTGATCTACAGATCAGTTATTTCATATCCTGTTATCACCTTCAACTTTTCAGCAATTCCACGGTCTTGTCAAAATGACATCAAGTGGTAAACTTGCTAGCAATAGATCATATGGGTGCATAGTATATATACAGCACACACAAAAACAATGCTAAGAGCTAGATTCGGATAGTCTTGCACGCAATGAACCATAGCATATTGCAGCAGCCCCTGTATCAGGGGGTGGGTCTGAGCTCCCAGACCCAGCACAAACCACAACTGAGCCAGGCTGCCTGCCTGCCCAGCTCCTAATACACTTTAAATGCAGAGCTACAGCGGGGGCAGGTCCCCAACCCGGGGTGAGCCAGAACTGAGCTGGGCTGCTGGCCAGACTGCTAAAACATTTACTGGTTTAAGGGGGGGGGGGAATGTGTGTAGTCATAGCATTAACTGATAAGCTTTTGCTTATCGGTTAATCGGTTATACTATTACAGTCCTAGTCTACAGTGATTGTTACATCATCTTCAGCACCAGGTCAAGTAACACAACTGTTGACAAGTGTGCTCATACACAAGTATGGTAACATTTTATAGTGTATATCAGGTCTGCCTCTCCCTCACATGCATCCCGATGCACATTCATGCACATTTAGTGTTCAAATGCCCTCCCTACCACCATCCTTAGTTTGCTACTAAGGTTTGCCCACAGGTTGATTCTTTAAAAGGTAACCAAGCTATGAATTGTGGCAAGTTGAGAACTCCCTCCAGATGAATGGATATATTTTTATTTGCCACTTTTACATCCAACACAAGTATTTATTATGGTGATATATTTTGAATAATAGCAAAGAAAGAACAAAAATATCCAAAGAAGCTAGACATGTCATTAAGAGTTTTTAAACAGGGGTGGGAGGAGGGTATTTAGAATAGGGTATTTAGAATAAACTGGGCTTTTTACATGTTTAATAAATACAAATCCCCAGTAAGTAATGACAAATATGAAAAGATTCAGTTGAAAATACTTTGTATCCATTGTGGCTTCCTCATCAGCTCGGTGCTTTGCTTTTACAAGCAGACTTTTCATCTTCAGTTCTGTCACAGAAGGGAGCATGAGCGGGGCCACTATGCAGAATAAGGACAACTGAGGTGGTACTAGTGTTCCTGAGGAGGATTTCTTCTTTTGTCCAAAGAGAAACTTCAGTTTACCTTGAAACTGCATTGTCTGTTATATAAAGGAACAGAATAAAATTATCATAAGCATTCAATGTATAAACCACGTAAAATAGCAATATTAACTATAGACCATAATGTTCAAATGATATTGGACATGTTCTAGCAGTTCTAACCCATGCAAAAGTATCTAAATGTGCCATATACTATGCCCATGGCCTTGCAGTAAGTGGACCACAGGCATCCAAGAGACATCTGTATTTTTCTATCTCTTACTCCTTTTCTCTTCTTGTCTTTTTGTGTCTCATTTTACCTTAAGAAGAAACCAAGTTGAACTTTAATAAAAGACTCTGGAAGTTATCACCTATAACTGAGGGCATGTCTAAACTATATCCCTCTTTCGAAAAAGGAATGTAAATTAGATACTTTGAAATTGCAAATGAAGCCGGGATTTAAATTTCCTGTGCTTCATTTGCATAATGTTGGCTGCAGTTTTTTTCGAAACAGGGCTTTTCGATAAAAAATGGCAGTTTAGATGGGGATCTTTCGAAAATAAAACCTTTTTTTGAAAGATCCTGTAAACCTCATTTTTTGAGAAGTACAGGATCTTTCGAAAAAGGGTTTTGTGTTTGAAAGATTCCCGTCTAAACTGCCGTTTTTCTATCAAAAAGCCCTGTTTCGAAAAAAACTGCAGCCAACATTATGCAAATGAAGCACGGGAAATTTAAATCCCAGCTTCATTTGCAATTTTGAAGTTCTAATTTACATTCCTTTTTTGAGAAAAGGGATGTAGTTTAGACACAGCTTGACTGACTCTTCTCTTCCACAAAGTTATTTGAGTCTTTCAGATATGGGGTTTTCCTTTTAAAAGGCTCTTTACAAAATGAAAGAGGGAGAGTATTTATTATTATTATTTATATTGTAGTCCAATCTCATGGCCACAGCCAGGTTGACCCCATTGTACCAAGCACAGTACAAACTTATACTAGATGGCAGTTTGTGTCCCAAAGACTATACAATCTAAACAGTAGGGCTACGTCTAGACTGGCCCCTATTACGAAATAGCCATGCTAATTTCCAACTTTGGAATAGGGAAATCCGCGGGGGATTTAAATATCCCCCGCGGGATTTAAATAAACATGTCCGCCGCTTTTTTTCCGGCTTGGGGAAAAGCCGGAAAAAAGCGTCTAGACTGGTGCGATCCTCCGGAATAAAGCCCTTTTCCAGAGGATCTCTTGTAGGAATAAGAGATCCTCCGGAAAAGGGCTTTATTCCGGAGGATCGCGCCAGTCTAGACGCTTTTTTCCGGCTTTTCCCCAAGCCGGAAAAAAAGCGGCGGACATGTTTATTTAAATCCCGCGGGGGATATTTAAATCCCCCGCGGATTTCCCTATTCCAAAGTTGGAAATTAGCATGGCTATTTCGTAATAGGGGCCAGTCTAGATGTAGCCTAGTTGATCCTTTGAATTTTAAATATTGTCCCTTGTTTTTCTTTCTTTTCCTTGTGTATATTCATAAATGTCCCCCTCAGCAGGTTCTTTGTTTAGTGTACAACAAATGAAACAAATCTTCTGCCAACAGACATATAACCTTAAAATGATAATATCCTGAAAATTCTACCATAGGCAACATCTATACTGCACCCTTCTTCCACAAAAGCTTATGCAAATGAAGTGCAGAGTAGAATATCACCGTGATACATTTGCACAGGGCCGGCCCTACCATGAGGTGGCCGCCTCAGGTGCCAGACTGTGCGAAGGGGAGGAGGAAGCGGGGAGGGGGGGGTGCCACTAGGACCCAGAGTGTAGAAAATTGTGTCTGCTGCTGGTGCATATGTATTCTCTCTGCTCTAGATGCACAGAGATAGTAGTGCTGTGCTGGAGAAAGGAGGGCTCAAGAGACCTTTCAAAGTTTTGGTCCAAGTGAGGGGGCATGAGGCCCCTGCCTCAGGTGCCAAAATGTTGTGGGCCAGCCCTGCATTTGAATAATTAATTAGGGGCCGTTTTTGCGCAAGAGGCTTTTGGGCAAAAAGGAGCTATGTAGATGGCTCCTTTTTGCGCAAACCCCCCCTCTTGCACAAGAGCTGTTCTTTCTCATTTTTTCAGGAAGAACAGCTCTTGCACAAGAAGGTGCAGTATTAGCTTCTGAGAGAAGGTCTCCTTCCCATTCAAATATCTGATTATCTTAAATGCCATGTAAGAAACCTAAGGAAGAGGTTTCTATAGGGAAGGTGTACGGGGGGGAGGAGGATAGAAGCATGCGCCTTATAGTTAGCAAAGAGCCTATCTGTCTAATAATGTGTTAAAAAATACTTCTGTGCATTATCTGGGGGAACAGAGTTCTGAGGATGTAGAACTGGAAAGCGAAGACAAGAATGCAGGGCTTGTTTCAAGTAAGCCACACAGGAATCTCCTGAGTCAATACTAGGGAAAATAAGTGAAAATTCAGACTGCCGTGAAAAAATGTCATTTGGTGTGAGAGGTCCTATAACCTGGGGGGAAGACTTAGAGGAGAAGGAGAGTGTTTGCTTGTAAATGCAAGGACTGGTGAAAGCAGAAGGAGAGTTTCACAGACACCTGTCACACTCTAATTGGAAGGAAAAAGTGTCAGTTAGTAGTAGAAAAATGGAGATTCTGGAGAGGGTGAGTTTGTTGTAGAGGAAGGAGAAATTGTGGGAGAGATTTTCTTGTTATGGGCCAGACCAAGCAATCTTTTGTTAGGGGCTGCTGCAAAACAGGGTTACTCTCCTCACTTAACCAGAAATGTTGAGTCCAGTGCTCTAGGAAATCTTGGACCACAGCATTTCCATGGAATTCTTATTAGCTGGTCTTTTAACTCCTCATCTTTGGGAGATGAAAGGAGAAAAGAGAGACTTCTAGGCTGATGTATAAAAAGACTGACCAGGGTGGTCTTTTTCTCTTCTAATTTCTGTTAGGTGAAGACATTGGTCATCATATTTATGTTTGTGGAATGGAGTAAGAGAGGACACATAAGGTAAGGACTAAACTGAATATAGAAAAGTATTATTCATGTGATAGTATGTATGGAAATACACTACAGCTATGGCTACATTGGCCCCTATTACGAAATAGGCATGCTAATGTAGCACTTGGGAAGAGGCAAATCCCGGAGGATCTCTTATTCCTACTTGTAAGGGCATTATTCCGGAGGATCGCGCCAGTCTGGACGCTTTTCTCCGGCTTATCTCCAAGCCAGAAAAAAGCGGCGGCCATGAAAATGCTAATGCCGCGGGGGATATTTAAATCCCCCGCGGATTTGCCTCTTCCCAAGTGCTACATTAGCATGCCTATTTCGCATTTTTTGACAGATCCTGTAAACCTCCTAGCAGGAGGCATAAGGGATCTGTCAAAAAAGGCTTTCTTTCTCAACAGAGCCCCCTCTAGACTGCCACTTTTTGCCGACAAAGTGCTGAGTCAGCAAAATGCGGCAGCCATTTTTATGCAAATTAGGCGTGGGATATTTAAATCCCTGCCTCATTTGCAATGTCGACCTGCCTAATCTGCATTCCTCTGCTAACAGAGGGATGCAGTCTAGACATACCCTAAAATAAATTATAGATTAACACAGCTATCCCTTTGAGTATTTAAATTTGTGTTACTCGACCACAGCTTGTTTCACACAATTATACTTACAAGGAAACCAGAAGTACTGTCCAAAAGGCAGCGAACTCGGCAGATGAAACAACGAGTTAAAAAAGAAGAATAATCTGTTGACATGCTGTCACCCTCTTGTGCCTTAAACAACTTACTAAGAATATATTCTTCTCCTACAAAGAACACAAGTAACGTATGTCAGATTATATGAATCCAGAATTAAAATCGTACATATTGGAATACATAGTTAAAGAAATTGCTGAAAAGAATATTTTGTAGTGAATATTCAATCATGAATATTAGTATCTGCTAGGTATACAAGACAAAATAATGGCTGTGTAATAGGTTAAGTTAATTTGCCTGGGGGGCTTAATCTCCCATATGTTTTGATTTTGTGGGGGTTTTTTAATTAAGCAAAATTAACGTTAACACAAAAGAGGTTCTTCCTTTTGGCTTGCTAGACTTACCCAATAAAAAGAGACAAAAAAAGGAAGAACATCGGGAAAAGATGCTTATTGGCACAGCTAACAGGCACCAGTCATCCAAAGGTCAGCTAGTGCCTCCTGAGTTCTTTCGAAAAGCATTCACTACTTAATAGTTTTTGGAGTGTGCATTTCTCAAATGAAACACAAGTACTTCACTAGAAGTGTGAACTCTGACACTTAGGGAAATTCTCTACTGCAGGTGTAGTCAAAATATGCCCCGTAGGTCGGATTTTTGGCCCAACAAGCCACCAGATCTGGCTTGCAGGAGTCTCAGCCAGGCTCCCTGACTGCCCCAGCCCTGCACGCTACTTTCTGAATACTGTGAGCCTTGGGGAGGGGGAAAAGGCTTTGTTCAGTACCCCCATCCCAGCACAATCTTGCAGCTCCTATTGGCCAGTTTCGAGCCAATGGGAGTTGCCTATTTGCAGGACAGGCAACAGGCGAAGTACCCCTTCCCATCTAGCCTTGCAGTGTTTGAGCCACACATGCCTCCCACAACTGCTGCAGGGGCATGGAAGGCACAGACTCGGACTGCACAACCTGCTTGGCTACTGGCCAGGAGCCACCCAGGTAAGCAGCTCCCAACCAGAGCCTGCCTCTGGCACCCCAGCTCCTCCATCCCCCCCAACTGTCCCATTCCTACACTCCTACCCCTGTCAGACCCTGCACCCCAATCCCCTGCATTCCTCCTCTAAGTCACAACCCCCTAGCACCGCAATCTTCTACTCCTGGTCACAACCCAGATCCTTGCACCCTCTCCTGCGCCCCTCCCTCAGGTCAGAATCTTCTCTTGCACCCATAAACTCTCCCAGACACTGCACCCCCTTCTGCACCCCAGTCTCTTGAGTCCTGCCCCAGGTCACAATCGCCTCCTTTACCCAAACACCCTCCCAGATCCCACACCACCGCCTGCACCTCAATACCTTACCCCAAACTCCCTTCTGCCCCCAGCCTCCATCCTAGACTCTGCACCTTCTCCACTAATATCACAGAAGAGTGTGGCCCTTGACCACTTACCAAATTGTTGGAGTGGGCCCCCCCATCAGAAATTATTGCCCACCTTTGCTCTGCTCTACATATCCAGAACAAAATTTCGAAGTGTTCATCACTGCTAACTTCTAAACAGTGTTGCTCAAATTTAATTAATGTCCATCCTCTGTTTTTACAGTTTGTTAAATGTTGGTGCCTTTTATTTCATTGAGGGTAATTTCCTCCATACAGGAGGGACATGTTTTTACAAACTTCTCCAAAGACTGCAAGAACTCCTGTGGAAACCTTGGTCCTCATGAGGACTGCTGTTAAAGTTACAAGCCCTGCATAAATTCTCAGAATTTAAAAGTCAGCCGTGACCTCCTGCTTCACTGGTGCTGCTTGCAAGGTTCTTCCTACACATCTGGGAAACCTATTAATGTTTCATGAGCTTTCAGCAAGGTACATACATTTTGCCAGCAGTGTGGTGTACTGTACATTTACAAAAGGTCTGAAGGACTTCTTACATTTTACCCCAGTTATGGCAGAACTTAACAAAACTGGTTCTTTCAAGTGAGTCATCCTGTGAAATAGTAAACAACATAACGCCACTGTTTAAAAAAGAGAACAGAGAAAGCGTGACCAAAATTTTCAGAAATGCGTGACTCCAATTTCCATTTGCCCAATTTGAGGCACCAGATTTTTCAAAGGAGATGAGCATTCACCATTTCTACTGACTTTAAACTGGGGTTCTGAGTATTCAGTTCCTCTAGAAGTTTTAGGCCTTGGGAACAAAGAATATTTTTTCACTTAACAAAAATTGTTCTTACTTTTTTATCTGGATATATATAAATAAACAAGCTTGTTAGATCTCATGTGCTGAGAAGGTTCTGTGGTCTGTAACTGGAAGGTGGGCAGGTGTGGCAACTCTAAGCTAAGCCTAGAGTTGAAAATGTATGTGAAAATGTTCTGATTTTCTAGTATTTCTCATTAATCAAATATTATTGATAAAGATGGTGTAGTTAAAGGGTACTAAACTTTCAGCCTCAGCTTTATATTTACCGAGACTGTTATTACTACCACTACTACTAACTTAGCCAAGTCACAATCTTTACATACCTTAGTTTGTCCATCTGCAAAATGGGTATAAAAACCTTACCTGTCTCTCTGGGATGCCCATTTATAAAATCCTTTGAAGTCTTTTAATGGAAGGCTTACTATCATAAAAGTGCAACTTATTAATAGTTGTAATAGTGGATACTTTTATGCTAAAGAGCCCCAAAATTTAAACTGACATTTGCTGGGGGATCACTTTACCACCACAATGCAGAACCCTGTGATGTGAAATGCAGTAATTATTCAACAGCCCTAAATTGCACAGTGACACTAACTGTGGAGGAATGAATAACAATTTATCCTGATAAAATTGCAGGAGGAATTTGAAGTGACGGAACGTAGTCATCAGAGATGGAACATGGCTCAATTTTTTGAGTTCATGTCCCACTTGTATTCTTATAGACAGGGATCTTTAGTGACTAGATGTAGTCATGATTTCTGTTTTATGCTCCAGCTGATAGAGAGCACCTCTAAACAGCAGAGGGTGCCCTAACACCATGCTGGGACAGCACTGAATCAAGGGAAATGGAATGCAGCATCTACTCAGAGATCTTTTTAATGCAATAGCTTAGCGTGAGAAAGCAAATGGGATGACGGCACAAAGCAATACTGCTGTAGTAAGAGTGTTCAGAAACCTTTTTCTACGTGTTATATTTTTGTAGCTGAGAGAAATCTTGATATGTTGGTTAATGTAGCCTGACCTAAGATTACTTATGAATGCCCAGTTACCACTTTTAGGATTCTTTTGGTCCTTTGTCATAGGATCAGGCCCAGTATTTAATTATTCTGTAGTTAGGAACCCTGATGTGCACAATTGCAACACTCACACTTATAGGAGCTCTTGTATTAATACACTATATTTGTAAATATCAAGTCACAAACTATATTTGTAAATGCACAGTCAAAAAAAAAGCCCAATTTCATAAGGCAGACAGGGAATGTACATCTAGATTTCCATGCCATATACTCATATCATTCCTTCTAGCGCAACCTGAGGTGTTAGCCATCATCTTCCTCATCACTTTCACCTTCCCTATCATCACCAGCGGCCATCATGCTGGGACCTCCCAAGGACTGTATCTCCTCCTCCTACCACCCCTACGTTGGGCTGCCACCAGGGCTGTCCTTAGGATTTATGGTGCCCTACGCAAGATTATTCAACTGGTGCCCCTATGCCTGACTTGCTCTTCCACCCCTACTCCCTCCCCTTCCCAAAAACCCCAGCATCCAACCCCTTCCCTCAGACCGTGCTGCAGGCAGTGCATTCGGCTCTCTAGGACCCAGCCCCGCTGTTACACGCTCTACGACTTCCTGTCATAGGCATGCGCAGCACATTTCATTAGGGTGTGCACCCAAAGAATTTTTTTGAATGTACTCTTTGACCCCCCATTAGCCACACCCCTGACCCCATTAGCCACGCCTCTGGAGGCAACAACTCTCAGGGCAAGATGGACACATGACCAAAAGTAAAAGGTGTGATGTGACAACCCCCCACGACTTTTCCCACCATCCTCCTACCAATAGGGATTAGATTGGCCCCCACCAAACCCCTCTCATGCAACTATCCTTCAATTGCATTAACCCACTGTGTGTGACATTAACTCGGGGGCGGAGAGGCTGGAGAAAGTGTTCCATCTCAGAGTTTAAAAACCCTCTGTGCAACTGTCCTGCAATTGCATTAACCCAGTGTGTGTTGGGGGGGAGTGTTCCCTCCAAGGGTTTCCTCCCCGAGCAGAATGAATGTTGTGTTGGGCACCAGTACTGAGTTCAGGTGGCTTGTTTGGATGTGCCACTGTGGCACCCAAGTTATTAATAAATATCTTATAAACCTCTGCCTTTTCCTCTGCTGCCATGGCTCCTCCCCTTGCTCCATCAGTTCCCCTGGTGCCTGCTGCTCCCAAACCCCCACCCTCCTCTGCTGTCCTGACCCCTGCCCTTCACACTGCCCTCAGCCTTCCTGAGACCTGCCCCCCTCCATCAGCCCTTCTCTCCCCCCTGTGCCCACTCTTCCAGTATCCCCACTCTGTTCATGTGAGCTACCCCTCCTCATCCCCTCTTCTAACACCTCCCACTACACACTAGTCCGGCCTCTCTCCTCTGGTGCTGGTCTCTCCCCTGCAGGTGTCTGCCCTTCTGCTTCACCTCCAGAATCCCCTGGCACCTGCACCTTCCCTTACCCCTGGACCTTTCTGGTGCCTCCCCCTTCCTTTACTGTCTTGCCCCCTTTGCCCTCTTTTTCCCTGATGCCCGCCCCTCACCACTCTTTGCCCCCATTCTCCTCCTGCCCCCTGTGCCCTCACACATGACTTGCTCCATCCCCACCTTTCTCATGCCCACCCCTTCTTTTAAGCCTTCTCCCCAGCATCGCCCCCTCTAGGTCCCAATGCCCTTCCCCTCTTCTCTCCTCTCCCAGCATCACCCTGTTCCCCCTCTCACTGACACCTTCCCCTCCTGCCCTTTTCCTCATTGTCTCCACTTGCCCCCCTCCCCCCGATCTCCCACCCCTTCTCCATATTTTTCCCGCACCCCTCCCCTCTGCCTTCCAAGTTTGCAGGGCTGGATCCGGCCCCAGAACTCCCCGCACTTCTGGCTAGACATGGGTGGGCACCTACAGAGCAGGGTGCAGAAACCTCCCAGCGCAGGTGAGCAAAGTTCCCTCTACGTGCTTGAGGGGGGGCAGCCCCTGCATTGCCAGCAGGCCTGCAGGGCACCCTCCCACCCCCTGCACGCTTGGGGGTGGGGGAGCGTTCCACGCTGCCTGCACTTGGGGTGGGCGCAGAGACTCACAGTAGAGCAGTGCAATAGACTCATAGACTAATAGACTTTAAGGTCAGAAGGGACCATTATGATCATCTAGTCTGACCCCTGCACAATGCAGGCCACAGAATCTCAACCACCCCCTCCTAGAATAATCCTCTCGCCTATATCTCAGGGTATGTCTACACTAATTTGAACTTACTTAATTCGAATTAGTTAATTTGAACTAAGCTAATTTGAACTAGTGCATCTAGACCTAAAAACTAGTTCGAATGAGCATTTTGCTAATTCGAACAAGCATGTCCACATTGAGTGGACCCTGAACCGAGGTTAAGGATGGCCGGAAGCAGTGCCGGCAGGGCATCAGATTAGGACTTAGAGCGTGGACTAATTTGAACTTACTTAATTCGAATTAGTTAATTTGAACTAAGCTAATTTGAACTAGTGCATCTAGACCTAAAAACTAGTTCGAATGAGCATTTTGCTAATTCGAACAAGCATGTCCACATTGAGTGGACCCTGAACCGAGGTTAAGGATGGCCGGAAGCAGTGCCGGCAGGGCATCAGATTAGGACTTAGAGCGTGGAGCTGCTGTCTCAGGCTAGCCGAGGGCTGTGCTTAAAGGGACCCGACCCCCACCCCGGACAGACAGGTTCTCAGGGGTTCCCTGCCTGCAAAGCAGTCCTGGCTTGGAGTGCCCTGAGTGCCCACAC